TAACAATTTGATAATGCTTAATTCGCACGTCGCACTTCTTATCCGAAAGATAAGATTGCTGTTTCGATTAGCTATCGGTGTCCGCTGATAAGTCCTAATTGATGTCGCATATTCGCTTATCGCAAAGCTTTTATATTTATGTAAATAAAAATTAAATATCGTTAATTGAGTCATATTGACCGTTTACTCGTTTATCAGACTAATTTTAATTCTTTGCTCATTTACATGTCGCTAAAATAATACTTAGGGTAGGGCACCCTAAATTTTATGTATTATCTATAATTTTGTGAAATTAGTGAGTTAAAAGATTTATTCACATTATATATATATTCTTGTTTTTATTAGTTTATGTAATATAAATGTGATTTGTTTTAGTGATTTGTGAGAAAGTTTTTCAGTATAATTTTAAAATATTGCGAGATGTATCATTGAATTTGTTTTATCTCTCTCCTATTCGTGACAATTATAATTCTATTCAAATTTCGTTGCAAATTAAAAAGAAATGAACAAATTGTCTTTCTGTGGTTATATTTTGTTAGAAACGTTTGCTATATATATTGTGGAAAATTTGAAGTTACATTGATTCCTTATCAAACTTTAATTTGATATTGTTTAACGATACGATGGTAATTATCGATACATCTGTTATTGATAAGTATGTGTATGATAATCTCGTAAAGTGCCATACGCCGATGTATCTCTCTAAATATTACATATGAAATTTTATAATTAAATCATGTTCATTTATATTATTTTTTGTTATTTCTAATTAGCATGATTACGTAAAACAACATTATACTTAATATGGCTGATAACAGAAATGCGTATGAATCACTGTAGATTTGTTTATCGGACGGATTGTACATGGCGATTTTATTGGTATAAATAGGTTAATGAAATGGCTATTTTATTACTGCGATAAATAAGCCATTATTGTCATTAACTACGTCGCTCCACTTTAGATTAACGGGTGATAATGGCAAATGAAACCATATAATTGATTTATAAGTTTTCCATTAAAGTTACGTGCGAAATATTATCGCATCTTCATATATTTCATTATCCTCTTTATCAGCTTGGATATGTAATTCGCACAGATATACACAATTTGTTCAATACAATTCAATTAACGAAAATCATTCATTTTCTTTACACAGACATTTTTTTTATCATTCCACCTTACCTTTTTATCCATACGTTTATGTTACATTAACCGTATTGTCGTACACGATACGGATACGACAATACATAACAAATTTGGCCATCATATAATTTTTAATAATCTATTATATACTTTCATCAAAACTTGTGTAACAAGATTTCATAGAAGATGTCTTCCATTGCTCGTTTCTAGCTATCATTTCAAATGCGGAAATTAATCGCGCGATTTCAATAATCAGTTCGGATGATAAGTTTTTCACGACGTCCGTCGTCGTGCTCGGAACAATTACGCGAGCTCCGTTCCGGAGGGTGCAATTATGCCGTTTAACGAATATCATGGCGTCTTTCGACTCGATGGTCCATCCTCCCTATCCGACGTTTGACCTCCTCTCCGTTCCCTACCCACCGCCTTACGTACTCCACCAGGGAAGTCCTATTCCGTAATTAGAATCTCCCAGCCCCCTAGGAGGCTTCGCGACCGACTTCGCCCCCTCACCGGCCATTACTTTTAATGGCGTTGTTAATGAAACTAGGTGTCGCCAAATTAACCTCCCATTCCAGCTGTGCTCAACCGTGAACGAAAGCATTGCTCGGAAAGACGTAATTAAATTTCTCTAATTATGTTGCCGTATGATTATCGCCGATAATAGACTGCTGCTTTGCAGATTACTTTTGATAGACTTTTCATATATAATTTGCAAAATATGATAAGAGAAGGCTTCCAAGATTTTAAAGTGATACTTTTTGAAGCTTTTATCTTAATTATTTTTAATAATAATTGACATGTATTGTGTATAGATACAAGAGAAATGTAAAACATTAAGTATTCGGATTTATCTCATATAATTACATATAACATATAATTTACACTACATATAGAATCTTAGAAATAAATGATGCTCGCATTTATTAAATAAAAGTGAGAGGTGAATACAGACTATAATAATTAAAATAATAAAAAGCGATTGTGATATCAACATTAAACAATGATCTCATTTTAAAGCTCATACAGATCTTTTAAATTCTCAAATTTAATTAAAGGTATGATCATTTGATTGAATATTATAATGTTATAATTGTCGAAAATTCGTGATTGAAGAATAGTTTAGAAAAATAAAATTTTAATCATTGGAAAATCTTGCTCTTTTTCTCACAATTTCTATCGCGTTGTAGTATTACAGATCCATGAAAACATGAGTTTTATAATTGGAGGAAACCTATCTGGTTTCGAAATGGTTTTCTGCAACTACTTAGATTCTGCCAGACTTCATTTCTCGAGATTGTGCTTGAATTCGAGAGCGAGGTGTTTACATCGGCGAAGTTTTACTGCACTTTTCATTCTCTTGAGAGATACGGGACAGTATTAAAAAGTATAAATGTTTTCGCGCGATACGATGTAACACGACGAGTAGTTTGGGAGGAACTTTTGCTTGTGGCTAACGTATTCGATCGCGGCCCGAAGGAGAATACGATCGGCAGGGCAGCTGGAGAGGGTTTGAAAACCACTGGTCCGGGCTGATTATCGCGGTAACCACCCCCCGAGCGCCAATTAATCTTAACTTTTACGGGGCAAACACTTTTCATTAAGCCCGCCTCTCCCGCCGGCGTCGGCGTCGGCGTTTCGTCGTCCCTTCGCCGCCATCCCTCCCTCGCTTCTCGCAGCCTCGGCTGCCCCCGCAAGTCCCCCCATTTTTCCTGCCCCTCTCCCTCCCTCGTCTCGCTACGCCGCTCATCCTCCTTCGGCTACGGTGAGGAACGGCAAGGAAAATGGCTCCCCAGACAAGCGTTTAATCTGGCTCTAATTAGCAACTTACCCTCCACCATTGCTCTCGCTTTCTCCCTCTTTCCACCTCCCCCCTTCCTGCATCGGGGTAGGTGCACTTCTCGCGCATTCTCTGTGACCAATCCCGTTCTCTTTCTGCTTCTGCCAAGAACAGGAGCGGATAAATACAGTTTGGATCCTAAAGTGAAAGAGTTAAAATATATCTCTTTTTTTTCTTCCGCCGGTTAATCTCAAAAGTACCAACTTCTCTTCTACTCGACTTTTTTTTATTTTTTAATTAATGGAATATTTGTGTTTTAGTATAATTTATGAAATATAATTAAATATTGGAAAATACGCATTCAAAGAGATCAAAAATATTGTAATGATAATTTGTGAAACGAGATTAATTAAATTGTAAATTCACTTTGAATTATAAAATTATATCGAGAATCTTTTTCAATTACATTTCTTTAAAAATATCTTAACACATGTATATAATATTTCTTTATATTATCGGAGGCGCATGTTGAAACTTTTGATGTTATCCTGCGTTGGGAATTTATGGGCAAATGGATAGGTGGTATCCATTTTTGTAGATGGTCGATAACAGAAGGTAATTTATCGACGTTGAAGCGAAGAACACGTTTTCTACATGCATGTATCTATAATCACGAGAAATTGAAGGAAACTGTTATATTTGTTGTAAACATAGATTTCTTCTACAAATCTTTGAAATATCAAAATAAATCGAAAAGTTCATCATAAATATTAATAACGTGATAGCAAATGCATGAACTATGTTTGTTACAATAAAAGAAAAGTTTATTTGTTAAATTTGTCGAAAAATCGATACAAAGGTATCAATACTAAGAAATTTATTGCAAACAAGATTTTCTACATATCTTTCTTCCTACGTTTTACTATTGTTTTTAACTTTTTCATACATTTTACTTAAAAAACAATTTAAAAAAGGATATTAATTATAGATGCACTGCTTGAAAAAAATCTGTTGTACCAAATTTAAAAAAACCAAATGATACACATATATTATTTGTGTAACAGATTTGATCATAACTGGCGCCAAGTTGTATTAATCTATTACCTAACTCAACCTAAATGATATGTACACTGAAAAGAAATCTTAATTTTAAAGAAATATTTCTTTGTCCATATACAAAAAAATTATTTCTTTGGATCAATAAAAATTTTTTTGGAAATAAGATATTGTATAATAAGAAATTTTAATTGATTCAAAGAAATAATTTTTTTTAACATGAGCAAAGAAATATTTCTTTGAAATTAAGATTTTTTTTCAGTGTATTGTATTTTCAAGTTTTCATTCAAGAATAATTCTGTTTTAACTCGAATGAAAGTATCTATTTTTTTTGTTTTAATCATTAAAAAAATAAAAATATAAATATAAAATTTTAATGCATGACACAAACATATTTTGTCGGCAAAAGAATATATTGAAATCCCGGGTGTGAAAAGTGCGATAGAAACTCATATCTTTAACAATCAGATAGAGCTTACGAGCTAGATAACCAGATAACATGAAAGTAGATGAATTTTCAAATATAAATGGAAGAGACACCGATAAGCGTTTCAAATGGGACGTATTTTGCAATCTCTTCAGAAGAGATTGCGATCTGGGCGCGAAATACTGTTTATGTTGCAGACGGTGCAAGCTATCTTGTGAATCCCAATAAGCTTCTATTGACAAATGGTAAGAAAATATTCCTCATGCATATTTTGAAATATCTCGAATGCAAGAAGATGTAAATGAACATCAAAAACGAAAACAATAGATTTCATAAATCTTATATTTTGAGTCAAAATAAATAAACATTCAAAATACTTATTATTTCTTGAATTCTTAAAACTTTATGTAACATGTGAATTAATATTATAAAAAAATTATGTCACATTTATCGTATTAATAAGACGAATATTTCTAAATTTGGAAACATCTTTTCGTTTTAATATATGTGTATGTATGACAATAAATTATTCAATACGAGTAACAACAACAAAGCTTATAAGCTTAAATGATGTTTATATTAAATATCTTCACTTATTACTACTAATTAGCATCTCAAGAACTTTACATTGCTAATTAATCATTGGAATACATCAACTGTAATTTTTGATTACTTTTTTATTGCTAGTTTCGAATATACTTGACGATCTTCATATAACAACGCTTTAAAAAGCATTATGTTTTTTTGGCACTTTCGAAAGAGTGCCTAATTCTTCATAATCGAGCACGATTGTAAAAGTCTTTAAAAGCATGATAAGAGCTTTGGTAACTTCACGTTTTTATATCCTCTTTCTTCTTTTTGTGTTCCTTCTTCCTTTTTTCGGGTAAAACAATTCGTCCTTCGAAGGACCGAGGCTCCTCCGCTTTAGCTCATAACTTTATCGATCCAGGGCACGAATTTCTGGATATTGGTGTACACACCGGGTAGGTGTTCGCGACCGCAACCGATGCCCCAGGAAACCAAACCGATCAGAACGTGTCTGCCTTCCACCGACATTGTGAGCGGTCCGCCAGAATCACCCTATTACAAGTCAAATTGTAAACAGTGTCCTAGTTGCACATGTGTTTAGTTAATAGTGAATTAATCGAATATTTCTTGGAGTATTCTATTTTTTGATTGATTACCTGACAAGAATCTCGTCCGCCTTGTCTATATCCCGCACAGAGAAATACATCATGTATGGTTTCTCTCCTTCCGGCTGCTCTGAACCACTTCTGACATTTATCGTTCGGTATTACCTAAATAAAAATATGTAACATACATACATATATATATATATAATACATATATATATAATATATTCTACACATATAAATATAATTAGGAAAATTATTTATTGTGTAGTTAAATAATATTACGAATATTGATATGCATAGCAATAATTAATTAATATGAATTTATCTATGTGGCAAATAAATTTTTCTTATATATACGATTTATATTAGAATTAATTAATTAATATAAAAGAAACAAATTAATATAAAACATCGCAAAAACAGTTTATAGAATTGTGTTGTACGGTACATTGCAAATTATTTTTTATTGCGCATATTTTGGCTGAAAAGACGAGTACAAGTTATCATCAAAGATAAGTACATTGATCGATAGTGCGCCTACCTCAACGTCGACTTCTTGAAGAACGGTTGGCGCCGAAGTTTGACCATGTCTGGTTCGTCCCCAACCAGCGACAGTTGCGGTTCGGCCGGAGAGCTTCAAATTCCTCGCCGGCAGGCAAACCGGGACGATGTGCTGCTTGAAAGCTACCACCCGGGACAGCTTCACCAAAGCCACATCGTTTCGAAAGTCGGTAGGAGAATATTGCGGATGTATCTGTTATTTTGTTGTTTTAGCGTAATTATTATTAAGTTATATCATGCTTTATTGGTTAAAGATATGCGTGACAAAATAAGTGAGTGTGTATTTTGAAATTTATTTTTTAATATTATATACGTTGCAATGCGACGTAGAATTCTTGGACATATACTGTTGAATCAATAAAACTTAAAGTATTAATATTTAAAGAAAGAACCTCTTTTCTCTCGATATTAAATTCTTCATGGACAAGCCGTTCCGACTGGTCTCGAACGTCCCATTCTCCGAGTCGAACTTTCAAATTGCTATTTGGTGTTCTGACATAAAAGATATGCATATATCAATATTTCTATTGTACTAAACTGTTGACAATAATAGCCAATACTAACGTCGCGACGCAGTGTGCCGCTGTGACCACCCATCGATTGTTCAGCAAAGCGCCACCGCAAGACAGCTTCTTACTTTGTAAGAATCCTGACTTAAGAATAGCGGCCTGCAACAAAGAGAATGTTTAGAGGTCTATTTACAGCCGCGTTATATGAAATATGTATCCGAGTCCGCGTCACGGCTCGCGGCCTTTAGAGAAGATTTAATAGATTATAATTTTCCTCCCTCTCCGCGCTAGGCGAACCGAGCAAATTGATAGCTCGTTTCCGATGAATAATGCAGAAAGCAAGAGTGTCACTCCACGAGAGATATGTTTATAACTAAGTCGAAGAGAGAAGAAAATTGTGCGAGAAGGATCTTACCTGCCACGGATGGCTACCGAAACTAGACGAGTGTCCACCTACGATCCTATTACTCCTCGTGTAGAGCTCGCCACAGCCTGAAAATATCATCTATGTTAGCTATGGCAAGACCTCAATACGCGTTCAAGTGAAAATGTTCGATGTGTTGGTGATAACACACGATAACACGTGATGATGCAAAAGTGATTTGTTTGGGGATCAAGACATGATCGAAGAGATAATGTTTGTGCGTGTCATAGAAGAGAAAATAAGAATATGCGATGCAGAAGATAAGCTCACACTAAAAATTTATTAACTGATACTTTCTACAATTATCTGCAATTAAACTGGTACCTAGGTGTGTACTTTAAGATTCTTTGCGCTTTGGTGAAAGACAGAAAGCAGAAAATAGACATGGCACACAGTGTAGAAAGTTCGCGCGACTTTAGGAACTCTAGTTTCTTACCGCAGATTATAGAGATACATTATCTACAATTAATCGTTGCGAAACTTTCTTAGTGATTTTGCTTAAGATAGGAGAAGATATGAATATGAGGTGTTCATTACATAATTAGTCATTTTATATTAGATTTTTAATTTCACATTTTGTATTTAACGTGTAATCTAATAACATAATATATACATATAATACATAGCTATACGTTTAAAAATTGTATATTTTTGTTGTAAAGTTAAGACCAGTTTTGATATTCTAAAATATTCTGTCTCATATTCCTATCTCGTATTTCAATGCTTAAAAGAAGAGAGGACGATTCAAATATAATTTTCTTCTTTGTTCCATATTGCTTCATACAGTTATCCAGTCCTCCTTCTGTCCTCCTTGTTTTTCACTTTTTCCATTTTATCTCTCGTTCTCAGTCAATTATTTTTTATTTTAGTATTCTCTCATTTTTTTTCTCCAAATTCAATTTCTCGATTGTTTCCCGGTAACACTTTGTGCAAAAAAATGTGCGATGTGACGATGAAAGCATTTTTGTGCGGTTTCCATGCGAAACATTGTATGCATGTTTAAATACTGTTTCCGTCATTTGGGTTCCACTATAGATCAATTTTATTATTATTAACTGGTATATTTAATAATAAATATTTTGTATCGTCTCGATGTCATTCATCTGATGAAATTCGTCCAGTTCGTCTTGTATATTTCATACTGATTTCCGTCGAAACTGTAATTCTTTATATTTTTTAAAATCAGCACTTTAAATGTCGACATCAATAAATTAAATCTGATATCTGATACGAAGTCTAATAATTATCTGTTGATATTTGTTGATAAATCACACAATATCAACACAAACTTATAATCCAGATGATTAGAATAAATTGGTGTCTTTTCAATCGATTGCAACAGTCAACATTGAACGAGCATATTCAAATCAATAATCAAGTGCACCTAAGAGATTCGCAAAGTCTCAATTCGTTGCAAATAAAATTGATAGCAATAAACATAAAAAGCAAAAAGTTGACCAGGCAGAAGGTCGACGGTTGAAGCGATATAAATTTTAATTGTAAGGAATACAATTTCGAGGTGAGCTCAATTTCCCATGCATACTACAGAGACACGGCGGGATTCTTGCGTGTCTGTAATCTTCGGAATCTGAACTCACCGAGGTTTTCAGTGAGTCCTCCGACTCGTGCGCTTGTCACATATCGTGCGACACTCGGTGTAATAATCTGTGTGCATTCTCATGCGATTACCACGGTATCTGGAGTAGTCCATGGCATTGGACGAGTCCTCGATTGGATCACTGTCCGCCGTTGTATTCGTCCTGTGGATAATCCTGAACTGTGTGATACGGACGAGTGGTGAACGTCGGTCGGTCGTGGCCGACTGCGAGATCGTTCGGCCGATTATGGTTCCAGATCGTGTAAGATGAATCATAATGGCTGGTCGGATTACTGACACCGTCCATATACGTGGGCCGATGGGTCTCTTGGCTGTGCGAAGGCCTGTTGGGCCTAATTGCGCTGCCGTAAATGTGCACGTTGTCATCCACGTATGGCTGTTGGTGCCCGAGATTTAGGGTAAACGCTGGGCAACGTAACGATGTCGCTATTAGCTACTCGGAATCACTCGCGTTGTGGCTCTGCGGCCAAATTTAAGGATGTATATGTCATATTTCAAAACATTACCAAAAATATAAAAAATTTATATTATTTTATTGTACGTCTAATAAGTATCTGTATAAAATTTTATCTTTGAAAAATTTGATTTAAAGTTACTTAATTTTTTGTTTGTTTTGATTCTTTGTAAAATCGCGTTTTATAGTACTTATTTGCAAATTTGATAAAGTCGTAGAATTACGATTTAATTAAATTTTTATGAGTATATTAATAAAACTATGTACATTAATAAATGTTTGTGCAAAAATTTATTTGGATATACTTACGTTCAAAAATTATTCACTTAAAACTGCAAAATGTAGTCATTTCGCTCCATAAAGCCATTGTAGGCCAAATTATTTATTGTTTTTTTTTGCGGTATGATTTGAGGACGTATTCATAGCAATTTTGGAACTATAATTTAATTGATATTGACTTTTTTATCTGATTTTTTGGTTGATACTTTTAGTCGAAATTGTACAGTCTTAGGTCCGATAACATTGTGATTATTGTAATTATGCTTTATGTATTAGCTGATATTTTGATCACTGCAGTTAAAGGATTAAAGACTGTCAATTTAGAATAAATCTATTCGAGAAATAAATATAAAAAATTATTATGATACACTAATAATGTTATAATAATAGTAATATTTTTCTTCACTTTCATTATTTTCTCTAATTGTTCATTGCAACCAGGAAACACAATCGGGGTATTCATTATATAATTTTGTCTGTAGGACGGAAATATGAAAAGTGAAAATTTTTATCATTGAAGTTAATGGAGAAATTTTTCACTTTTTATGTTTCCGCCTTAAGAAAAAAGTTACGTGATCGGTACTTAGACAAAACCATGTACTGTAAAATATATAATGAGATAAAGAATATATGTATAATATAATATAAATATATAATGAGAAAGAGAGAAAGAGAGATGAAAGCAAATGTAAAAGAATAAAAATGTCATAAGAAAATATAATACAATTTGTAATTGTCTTGTTCTGTCGGTGACATCGTTTCCTCGCCTATTTCTATTTGTGCCATTGTATTGATAGTTACGTGGTTACGGTGAGCGACTTGCTGAAAGCACGCTCGCGTAAAGTTCTCCGGGCGTGCAACGCGATGCCGTCGCGTAAACTAGGTGTGAATAACTGTATTTGAAAGTGCTGACCGTACTGTCACATCGTTGGTACGCGAGCGACACACTAGCTGGACGCTGTTGGTTGTGTAATTTCGGATGTCGGATAGAAATCAGGTTACTTCCAGCCGGTGTCTCCTTTCAGTTCACGATAATCAAGCGTTCTCAACCTTCTCGCGATCTAATCTCATCTTAATCCCTAACATTAATCTAAAAAAGTAACGTTACATCTCCTACTCCTTTAATTATAGTATCATTTGAGTTGTCTTTGCGCTTCTTCACTAAATATGATCCGAATCTCTCTTATACTGCATGCAGAGAGTGTACATCGAATTATTTTATCGTAATCGTCGCGAGATTTGACTATTTGACCATAAAATTGAAAAGCGTTTACGGAAATTCCTCCAAATTAAATGACGCTAACAGCGCGATACAATCTCGAAGTCTCAGTTCAGAAACTCAGTTTAGTGACATTGGAGAACACGAACCTTCTTTCAGGATGTCGCAAATTTACAGCGGCATGACGGTAAATAAAAGGACCTCACGAGTTAATTGAGAGACACATCGTTGAATTAAAAACTCTTTCTTCCTTAAGAAAAACATACGACGTTTTCATTGTCTCCTCCATTCTTAAATAGTGGATTAACCCTACTGGTTTGCTTAAATATATTATGCGATATCGTTTAAATTAATATAATTAAAGTACTTTAAAAAATAAAACGTTTTTACAGAAGTAAGATCTTCTACATTAACTTACAAAGTTATTAGAGAAAAATGTTTTTTAAATTATATTAATGTTTTTTAAATTATATTAATAAATTACATTAATTAAACTTGACATATGGATCTGTGAAGTTAGCATGATATCCTAAATTAATATAAAAAAAATGACGGTTCCAGTAACACTCTCCATAGTTTTACATAAAAATAAAGAGTTCCGCATTTTTTATACTAAAAAATTAGCACACCATATTTTCAATTTTCGTTTTTTAGTGCAGACTTCTTTTTCATTTTTATGAAGAAAAAAGTGCTACTGGCATTATATTTTATATATTAAGAGAGTGTCGTGCTATCTTTACAGACTATATCCACACATATGCCTTTTTAATATGTATATATGTATATATATATATATGGATATATGTAGTTTTACTCTAGTGCGAGAAAACTTACTGGCATTCTGTAATAGACCCACAGTCGGTCGCGGTACTTTTTCGGGTATGTCTTCGTCGTCCACGCAGCAGCTCCATATTAAACCTCCGGAACACAAATCGAGTGGTCGACCACCATTAAAAACGCAGCTAATGCTGAGGCCGCACTCAAACCTCGCACCTTTGTACTTGCACGTTTGCGGTATCACTGAAATAAATTCCACATATCAATTAATATCTATGTATTATATGTATATAGATTGTCGCACGTTTACCGATTACTTTAATAGTAATATTAAATTATTAATTTTTATTATTAATGGGATTATTTTAATATGAATAGATGAGAAACGATTAATAAGTAGGAATTTTGACTAAAAAATAATTTAGTCAAGAATTTGTCTTAAAAAAACATTTTAAAATGAATGTCTTGTAATATCGATGTATCTATTTATTATTACGCGATTGTAATTTTAATTGCGCTAAATAAATACACTCTTTCGCATTTAGCGCGTCTTCTTTTGAAGGTCCAATATCAGTTGTTATGAAATGAATCCTGTCGTTTTAATATGTCCAATTGCATTAATAATTTATTGTGACTGACGACGTATTTTGTCAATAGTAGAAAATCTGTTCCAGTATCTCATTTTACAAACTCTCGAAAATATCAGATACAAAATATTGAATTATCTGTCTCCCTATATTCTTTTTACTTAGTCATTCAATCAAATAATTTATTTGATTCATAATTTACGGTTTACGGCCTTATATCTTTCGACAAATTTACGAAATTCTCTTTCAGGATCGATATATTTTATTTAGTTAACAGCACTTCTAATTTTTTTTTATATCCTATTTTTGTCCCATTTTGAATCCTACATACTTCTGCCCAACATCTCCATAAGGCCATTCTGGAGATTGGAGTTATGTCCTCGATGATCATTGGTGTAGTTTCGCTTCTTCCTGAGCGTCTCCACTAGCAAGGCACCTTGCTGCTGGCTGGTCAACTTCCTCCCTTTGCGATGTCCGTCTACCATTTCGTCGTGCACTCCATTTAATCTCTTTCGTTTAATTTCATTCAGTACTTCTTGGATATTCGTTTCCTTTTCCTCTTCGTTTTGCAGGTCCTTTTCGAATACTTCCTGTCCGTTCCAATCCATCTCTTCTGTATTATGATTCAAAAAATGATCTTGAGTATCTTCAGAGAACATAGAATTCTTCGGATGATCCGTGTTCTCCAATATGGCGTCAGTGGTTCCATCACCGCCGTACGGAAAATTCGAAAAGTACTGATACTGTTCGACTTTGGACGGTATGCCTATCACGTTTTTCAGGTTGCTCTCGATGGCTCGATTCTCACGCGTGAGATCCTGTCTCATCCTGGCGGCTTCGGGTTTCCAGAGATCGTGATGCTCATTCGAATCGTCGTCCATCGCGAATCTTCTCGGTGAGTTTTGAAGAACATTGTCCTCGCGCCGATTTAACCTTCTCGATGGATGTGTATCGGACCGCTGTAGACGAGATTCTTTAACTTTGATCGGTATGATCGATCGGCTTGCAGTTGCAATTTTACAATCCTCCCTGTGTTTCCACGAATAAGTGTCATGGTGATCGAAAGCGCTCGCCACGGTGATCAGAAACACTCCAAGCACGATCTTCATGATCGACTTTGACTTCCGCTTGTCACTTCGGGGATACCTTGCGCACCATCGCGATCTCACTGCACACACTTGAAAGTTAAAAGGGGCGCACTACGGTGAAGATAATTCACGAACGATCCATTTCCTTCTCCATTAACGACGATCGATGAAGAACAGTAGAGATCTTACAACTGAAGACTAAATCAAGTTTCTCCGAAATTATTCGAAGAGAAACTTGACTTAGTTGGAAGCTGTAAGTCAAGTTTCTCTTATGAGATTCGACTAGTTGAAATTTCACTTGCAAAAACGTTTGAGGAATTAATTGGCACACCATCAATTTCTTTGAAAAGCTAGCTTCTTGTTCTTTTTTCATGTAAACAATAAACTTTCAACTTTGAACAAAATCTTAGAATGCACTTGATTAGATTTGGTTACTGATTGATCCCGGATTGTAAATCCTTAATCTTGAACGTAGCAAATGCGATTCATGGTCGAATTTCTTTCACAATTTCACTTCGTCGAAGGCTTTCGCGAGGGTCACGGTATTTCGAACGACTTTGGAATCCCAAAGCACTGTGTAAGCACCGCCATTTTGATATCACTGTTTTCTCTTGCAATAGTTTCGATTTATCATAGAAAATTTTCTATAGAAGATGACAGCAGACGCAGCCTCCTCTTGGAGACCGCTGACGTATATGTATTATCGAGAGACAATGTCAAAAGGTTGAAGGCGCCTTATGACACTTCACCAGAGTGACGGTGAGAAGCTGTGACAATACACGCCTTCTGCACGTGGACTGGCTTAAACCGATGTCTCACGAGTCTCGATCTAAGAAGGCGTCCACTGCTTTCACCGGCATCAGCTTTCCCGCAACGGCGTCGTCCCTTGGTCTCACATTGGTTCCCCACCTTCACCATCGCCAGAACATATCGTGGTGCTGTATCTTATTTTCCATTTCTTTCTTCGTTGAATTATCATGTCGCCGCGAAATTGTCGTACTCTGAATAGCTGGAAAATTTTGTCAAGATTCGGGCCAGTCGTCTCGTGAAGACGGAAAACCGAGATAGTTATTTCTATAATATATTTTTTGTTGAATCGTTTAAGTTATTTTGTTTTATCACTCTATTGCAATATATTCAAATTCGGAGATTATGTTTCAAAAGATTATAAATTTTTATTCAAACTTTTCATTGTTATTTTGTTGATTTAATTTCTTCATTAAGATTTTTTGATAGTTTCATCACAGTGATGAATGATCTTTGGGAAGAATGATTAAATATTTTCTGTTTCTCATCAAATCTTAGTAAACACAGATTTATTAAAAATAAAAAAATTCTATACGTAGAGCATAAGAGTTTTATTATAAATAAAATATATGAGATCGAATATGATTTCGAAAAATCGGCGCTATGACTACGATTTCGCGACCCAATTTTATCGCTTCACTGACAGCGTTTTTATTTTGATAAATAAAATTTAGATCGATTCGAAGTATTCATGGAATGTCTTATTAAGTTTACTTAAAAAAGAGTAAATATAGTGATTAATATTCAGATTAATTTTTCTTTCATGAATGCGAATTTTTATTTTTAATAAAAATTAAATAGAATTTAAATTGTTCTGCTAAATTTCTAATAAAAAAAAAAGATTGAATTAAAATTCGGAAACTTTACTCGTGTAATTCCATAATTTAGTTAGGAAATATTAGGTATCATTTTCTATAAAAGGAAAGATATCATCTCCAAACACTCATAACAATAGAGAAGAGGTGCGCTGAGGTCGCAGTGAAAACTGAGCTTCCGTGCGCTTCATTATAAATATTCTTGTAGAAAGTAAGCGTCGGTAAGTGGTCTTTCAAGTACGATTCTGATTTCGTCTTTCTTGTTAACTCAGCTGTAAATCTTTCGTGCTTTGCCCACATTTACGGAAAATTATTATAATCGCAATATTTTTTTGCTGAGAATAGTTGTGATAGTTGCATTAAATAAAGTTATATGTCGAATAAAATGTCGTTCTATATTGCTCAATATAATTATATGTATTAAATAAAATATTATTCTAACAAAATCCTTTTTCTAATTTTTAAAAAATTTGTCTTTAAATATATTCTTGTAACAATAAATATTTAACTAGGGCTACTGAGAACTACAGCGCGGTAATCAGAGAGTGCAAATTACTACAACGAACTTTAAAATTAACATACTTTAAAATTAATAATTCATTTGAATATTTTATCTTGAAGATGACTACAAAGTAAAATAACTCGGAAACATTCGGATAAATTTTAACGAGTTGTGAAAAACGATTTGTTACTTTTTAACTAACTGTAACTGTAACTTTTCAGAATCGGTAATTTGTAACGGTAACTAATTATTTTGTGAAAAAGGTTATAACTGTAATTAGTTACTTTTATAAAGTAACTTTCTCATTCCTGTCTATCCATCAAAGAAAAATGATTTACTGAATTCACACTTTATTTTAAATTAATTTGTATATAATTATTACATGCAATGATATTGGAAACATCAAATTGTTTAGAACAGATAAAGATATATTACTTTGATTGTATAAGTATCCGGCTAACCGGTTTGTCATCTTAAAATCTTTCCGATATCTATCATTTCATCGAGATCTTACCATTGTACACAATTACGTTCACATAGCTGAATCATCCTTATCGCATGCTATTCAGTTGTTAACTGAAATTGTTTTAAGGGGATAATAGATATCAAAATGTCAGCATTATTCAGCGTTTTGATTTCGTAGAGGTATTATCTGATGACACATGACAATTAAACGGTACTTGAATTGTACTATTGTATTTAAATCATATATAAATAAAGACAGAAAGTAGAGGTTCTTTCGACGAAATCATGAAAAATTAATTTGTTATTTTAATTATGAGTGAATTTTTTTAAAGCAATCTTTAAAATTTATTTTAATATCTGTTTATTTTTAATATATTATAATATAAGCTGAATAATAGTGATACAACTTACATCCAAGTTCATCGAAAAATCTCATCTGTCCGTGCGAATCAATCGCATTTTCGATATTTTCTTCTTTCTCTGGTTGACCTAAAAAAAAAATACGATCAAATTTCTCCTCTAGTAAAGGATAATTTTTAACGATATCGAAAAATGTCATTATCTATTTACCAAACTTTCTCAGAAATCGGTTGTTCCTTCTTTTATTAGCGAGACAGCTTGTATCGGCGATCAGAAGTAGCGAGATGAGCGCTCCGGCTTTGAGAACAGTCATTTCTCTCTTCGGCCGTCAGCGATGATCGTGCGATTCACTGTCGTTCGCTAAACATGTTCACGACGTCGTCATGAATCTTTCTTAATCGTATCATTTTGTCACGTTCCTCATGATTTCACTTTGAAATCCGTCTCATCAGCAATTCTATTAAAAGTCCAAAAAGATCCCTGAATGTGCTTTTTTTATTTCACACGCTTTTTCAAGTCGCGTGCAATTGAATGTGGTAAAATTTGTTTGCGAATTGTTAAAGCTCTCACACTTTACACTCGCGGACACTCCATTTAATCGAACGACTACGAAGAGTTCAAAGGGGACTTGATGATACGAATCTCGCTGGAAAGTGTTAATTGCTGGAACTGTAAAAGATCCTGTCTTTTAAAACATGATCGTATTTCGGGGGTGGATTAAAAAAAATATTTTTGCGATAATTTTTCGAGGACATTATGTTACCTCCGTGTCATTATTTATTTCATTAAAAATTTATTTATACTACGACAATGTTATCTCGAGCTGAGAATCAGTAAATTCGATCACTTGTATTACACTAGATTAGTACATATTAAGCTGCTATGTATAAAATTAGCAAAGTTAATGTTATATAAATATTTTAAACGATTAAATATCTAGTAATATAACATTACGTTATTTAACAGAATATATTGTTATTTCATTATCAAAGTTGATTATATTATATTTAGATACTTTATATGAAATAACACTTTTAATATGTACACTGAAAAAAAATATAGTCAATTTTAATAAATATTTAGTTGAATACTGCTAACTAAATATTTATTAAAATTGACTATATTTTTTTCTCAGTGTACTAATCCAGTATAATACGAGTGACCGAAAGGGTTAACATGGAATATCATGTCGTTCAGAATTTCGTAATTTTATCATCTTTTGACGTAAAATCTTCCTTTTAGATTACTTATCAAATTTAAGGATTTTAAACTCGAAAGTCAATAATATACAAGTCCCGCTTTCGCTTTTTATGATTTCTGTAATTACGTATGGCCCTGTAGGAAGTTGCATGCTGATTAAACTAATAATTAAATTAATTATAATGCAAATCATGAAAGCATATATATTTTGATGTTATGTGCCACGTCAAAGGGTCGCATAGACGTTCCGGTTTCCCCGTCGATCTCGGAGCCTTTGTCCACATTCTTGATCAGTTCCTTCACCGGCACATCGTGAACGAATTCACGTTAGCGTGTCCAAAGACGTTCACGTACAGTCCGGTACAAAAGTGGGACACGAAACCAGGCCACCGAGACAAGTGGCACGCCTTTTAGCTTTGTAACGTTCGGCCGGTTTACATGTGAGACCATGTCCGCGTGGCGACGTACTCTTCTCCTCCTCCTTTCCCCTCTCTTTTGGTTATTAGTGAAAGTTAGCCGGTAACTTTCGACTTTGACAACGACAACGATTCATCATGGGGAATGCAGAGTGAAGAATGGGTTCTTGGAGCACTAGGGCCCAGTTCCACAGCTCATGATTATAATTCTTAACCGAAGTTCAACTTATTCTTTAAGAATTGGAAAGGGATGAGGAATAAGTCGAACTTCGGTTAAGAATTATAATCATGAACTGTGGAACTGGGCCTATATCATATTTAAGAGCATTATTTTGAAGAGGTATCTTTCAATTCTCCATAAATATTAAACACTTTACACGAAAAATTGATAAATAAATAGTTATAAATAATATGATAGATATGTTTTTTTTTTCTAAAAATTAGTCCATTTAACTTTCTATCTTGTTAGTATTAAGCCTCATGATAATAAAAATGATTGAATTCATAGAAAAATCTACTTTTCTAGAAATATTGCGGAACTAAATTATGCTTGTGCAGCAGTTCTATTTCGTGAAATAGAAGCTTTACTCTAAAACGAACTTCGACTATTTCGTTTAGATATGCGGCGAATTGAAGACGAAGGAAAGAGTGAAATATCACTTTCAACTACCGTGCTGTAAGTTACGAGTTAAAACCCGTACACGAGCACGCTATTGTTTTTGATTGCTCGACTTTCTTTGCGCTTCTTCTGTGTGTATTAAGTAAAGTAAAAAATAAACAAGTGAGATCATGTGCATGTCTGACACACATTCGTGTAATTTAAATATATCTTGTTAATTGATATGCTTCCACAATTAGTCTGCTGTTGTTTAACATTTTTTTCTAGATTTTAGATATATTATTCAGTAAAATATATATTTATATTTAATATATAATTATATTACTTATTTGTTACAACGATACAAGTCGGAGAACGAAATTTTCCCAAAAATAAGTTTGAATATTTTAAGAATCATTAAAATTTTCCAATTTTAATTTAATTTAATTTCCAAAAAATTATAATTGGAAAATTGGATATAATTATTTAGATAAATAATATATCTAGAAGATATATTATTTAATTGATATAGATATATTATTTAAGCCATTCAAGCGTAAAACTGTAAATTCTCGATCGACGACTGTCGAACTGTTTCAAAAATAGAAAAATTGTAGCGAGATACATATTTACGAAAGGCGTTAATTGATACCAAAGAATTAGAGATAAATGCTTTTACAAACGAGCGAGCAAGTACATTGTTGCGACGGTTTCTGTATGTGTCGCAGCGATGGTATCGATCGTCACGTTCTAAAGAATCGAAAGCACGTGCAGCGATCCGATTCGACAGTCTCACCTGGATTTCTATCAAGATCAAGGTTGAAGACAAGTTTGAGATCTCGTCCATGGATCACGATATGACATTCACAAGAGAGATGCGAAAGTGCGAAAGTCATACTTTTATCCAATTGATTATCGTTTATCATTTATCGCCGTTAAAACGATAACCACTGACGTTATTTACTATAAATATTAGAGAAGGTAATAGAAATAATAAATCTCTATTCGTGTTACTTGCACTTTTTGTACTAAGAATCTCCGTTTTCTCTCTCGTCCAACTATATATTTATTTCGTTTTAAGCGTAAAATTTTTTGGGAATTTTAAGTAACACAAAGAAATCATATACATGTAGATTTATTAAACATTTCTGATCTAAAGAAATTAAAAATTAAAAATTAAATTAAATATCAGTAAACAGGAAGTTTTATCTGTACATATTTGATTTAAAATGAAGCTTTATAATTCATTAATTAATGAAGCTTTAAAAATTTTTATTTTTAAAAAGTGAACATTAATTTGCAATTTATTAACAAAGAATAAAATAGATTGTAATTCAGTATCTTTTCTATCTTCGTATTCCTACCTTTTTGAAAATATTATATTTGATATTATACAATTATACACACTTGCGCTTGAGTACTCGATCACTTTGTGGAAATACACACTTTCGGGATTTTCGGGATGAATTCACCTCATGAATATGTCTTTGTTAATGCGAGGTAGTTGTAATGTTAATTCGAAATTTGATTGTCTGAGAAATTTGCGCGGTAGAACTCATATATCACGATTTGTGGTCACGTTCGACGGGCCAATGAATAGAGCACCGCGACACGCGGTTAACTACTGATGAGGAACAGAAATATCAGCATCTGAGACCACTCTCTTTGGCCTGTTCTCACTCTCTCCAGATGGACCCAAGGCGCCCAAAGCGTTCCTTTTCTATCTAGCCAGTGAAATTACGACGAAGTGTAATGAGAGTCTTTTACATCCGTTCCTTTCGGATAAAAAGCGTTCGACGGAACTCATCACTTTCTAACCAGATCTTTTTTCTCATTGTTTTTTTACTTAGCACACATTAACAAGTTTTTATATGCTTTTCCTCTATAATTAATGTCTTTTTAATCGTAAATTATTTAATTGTAAATTTAATGTATTTGTTTAAAATGAAATTTAAATGTTCTTTAATTTTTTCTATTTCTTTCTGTTTGATTGTTTTATTTCTGAATCGTGAAAATTTGAAATTTAATTTATTTTTTTTATATTTTATTTTTGTATTTCTTAAAAATCTGTGTGTGTCATAAAGTACGATTGTAATTTTAATTACCCATTCTTACGCATTTGGCATCTGTTCTTAGCGAAACGCTAATTATGGTAATATATGTACACTACATCGCTGTTGTTCGATTCACTATCCGTAAGCTTAGTAATCCCGAAACTTACTTTCACAGAGAGCCCACAATCGCGAAGGACAATTTGTTTTTTTTCCGCGCGAAATTTCACTTTGATTGAAATATTGTCACGTAGAGATTATTTTTTAATCGACACGACGACACGCAGTTTTCTATAACTACTACTTATTTACGCAGTGAGTAATTATAACGTTCTTGCGAAGATAGCAAACGGAAGGAAAATTTCTTTTTCTGATATCTGGAATATATTCCATTAGTTTTATTTTTATCTAATAACAATAAGATACATATAACTATATATGTCTATCTAGTATGTGGTAGAATCAAATATAAGTAAATATATAAAACTAAAAATCAAGTCTTCATAAATTTTTGATATATTTTATTGATATATTGGTTCGTGAATAATTGATTCGAGTGTTTTCATTAAATTATATATAATAATTTATATTATAATTTTTTAATAATTTATGCTAGTATTATAAATAACAAAAAGTTTTCATATTGGCATATCGCTGTCAAATTAACAACGCAAGAGATACATATATATTTTTTTTTTTCATTATTTTAAAATCAAACTTCGTAATTTGCTGTACAACAACGTAATATAATGAATAATGAAACGTCATGCATAAATTTGAAGTCATTGCCAAGGCGCACTCTACACCACTTTGTGCCATTACTATGCTATTTCTGTGTTATTTACGCAATTACGTCTCACGATCTTTTACCATATTTACATTCCGCACCTGCGGCTTGGAATAGAATGGTTGACGTGAATGACCAGCGAATGATTTTTTTGTTACAAGATAATAAAAAAATCTTATATTTATTTTTCATAAATATTTAAAAGTACATTCTCGAATGTGTGGTGGCCAATATAAATTTTTTAAAAACTCGCAATTATTATTTATGTTTAATATCAAGTTATAATTATTAATTAAGAAAATAATAATTACAAAACTCTTGATGTTGAAATAAAAATATTTAACAATTTAATAATAACAATTTATGCACTGAATACAATACCGCAGTCTCATTAGCCTATTTTATATGTAATTTTTATTATCAATTAAATAATTTTATGAAAAATTTATCAGCATATAAGATATGTATTTTGAGTTAAAAAATGATATAAATACAAAAAAAGAATAAAAAATAAACTAAAGGTAAGGAAATGTTCGAGCATTTTTTATGTTACTCTCTTTGATAGAGTATAATACCGGCTACAGTCGTCTCTAGATTCTCTTTTATCTTATAC